TATATATATATATATATATAAAAATACAGAACATTTTATATTTAATACAATCATACAATACACTTATAAAAAACGACGAACATAAAATTTAATACACATAAAAGATAAATTTTGCACTGTATTTCAATTATAAATTATTTCTAACTTAATTTTCATTTATTAGATTTGAAAATTATTTCATAATATAAAAAAATAATTTATACATACGTTTTTGGTATATAATTTTCTTATTAATTCTGTAGTGAGATTTACTATCCTTTATTTCGAATTCATCGAAGACTTGCTGTTAAAATTTTTATTATCTTTAATAATTGAAATTTTATTCCTGTTATGCGTTATAAATTGCTTACCTTTGATAAGTTTTCTCTTGTAATATTTGCATGTAAATGACCCATATTTTTGTATTCAAAATTCTTTTCCTATTTACAAAATAATAAAATAGATTCAGAAAAATTATTTGCACAATATACATAACATACAAAATTACACCTTTAATGTACCTGAATTAAATGTTTATCTTCATCTTTCACAGAAACACAATATCCCGCTGCAGTATGCAAGTCTCTAATCACATTTTTATTTGAATATATTACATGATACTGGTAAAGCCTATATAATAAAATTAATTTATTATATATATCACAGAAGTAACTTGTATGAACAATCTATTAAAAGTAGAATAAAAATTGAATTCCACTTCATAAAAATTCAAATCTATTGAAATTGACTTCATAAAAATTGAAATTCATTAAAAATTGAATTCCTTTGAGAAACTTCCACTTTAAATATCCAACAGCTTTGTCAACTATATTATACAAATAAAATTAAATCTTCAATTTCAGCAATCACTAATTAACTGATAAATTAGCAATGAACAATCCCTTATGACTCGAATAATACAAAATTATATACTATAAATTATAAATATAATACTATAATTATAAATACTATACTTTTGAAACCTTGATCTAACTTTAATCAACATTATGACACAAATGAAACTGAGTCTTAGCAATTGCTAATTAACTATGACAAATTAGCGAGACAACTGAAAATGAGAAATGAGATACAGTAAATAATATATATTATTGTTATATATTATTGTTATATACCGTCTATATGCTAATCTTTGTCCAGGAAATACTTGTAACATTCCCAACATTTTTTCTTTGTATATATGCACTCTTTATTTCATATATATATATATATATATATATATATATATATGCTTCCTAAAAAGAAAATGTATTTTTGGAATATGCTGAAGGTTCAAGCAAGTTCTTAAATAAAAATAGCAAGAAATTCAGAATCAGTTTGTATACCTCGAATATCGTAATCAAGCCGGATCAATTCACGTGGTTGAGATCGAAGTTTGTGTTCTTGGTTATGGTTCACACTTACCGTTTGCGATCAGAATGAACGAAATGATCCAGAAAGTTTGTGGCAGCGCTTGCACACACAAGGAAATATTGTTAAGACTTTTTCATATACAGGATAATAAAGCATTGCTTTTTATCTGTACCACTTATAAAGTACCACTTATGCGTTTTCGATATTCTCGCGTGTAGTTCTCACACCATCTCGCACAGTCTCTAAAAGCTTTCTATCTTTCGGTAATTCCACATATTTACCTGCAATCGCTGCATAAATACCGACTGTGATAATAATCGAGCTGATGATACCAACTGTAGTATCCTGTTCATCAATCCATGATGGTTTCTTCCATGATCCTATAAAATTTGTCCTATAAAATGATAAATATCTTTTATATAGTCTTTCATTTATGTATGTCTCATCGATGTATCTGCACTTATACATGTAATGTGATAGTCTATCCTCCATCCATAATTTGCCTCGTTGTTATCCACTACTCTCAGTCGACTCAATTTAATTATCTGACAAGGGTTGAAATAGAAATGTTTCTGCTTGCAACACTTGACACCGCAAAAAGCGACAACATTATCGTTTTAATCTCCCTTTTTTAAGATAATCTGAAACATCATATAATATAAAAAAATTGCATAATGTATATATTTAATATTACAATAGCATTCATAGCAACATAAATTTCCTCTTAGCAGAAAGAAGATAAACGACATTAGAAACGATAAATTAAATGAATTCTTTTTTCTTAGATATTTTTTTATGATTACTATAGAATAGAAGTTTTCTCGTTGAGATTCAATGAGAAACAATTCTAAGTCTAAAATCAGTTTGGAGTATTTAATCGCGATAACTTCTCCGAAATAACAGAAAGCAATAATTTTTATATAACTTTAGCTTTGCTTAGGATATCTAATCTAAAGTCATTGATGATGTGCATTAACGGTACGGAAAACGGGACTTTTTATTGTCATCATGAACAAGATTTATCGTCTCGAGAGAGTGTTAATGCATTTTACTACTGAATTGCATAAGACATACACCATAGCATAAAAATATAGTTTAATAACAAAAGATTTACTGGCCGCAAAAGTAACAGATGTATTTTTTTTATTAGTGGATAAAACATTTTATAAAATAATTAATAAAATCTCGTATGTAACACTAGTTTTTGACGACGATAGAAATTATTATTGTTTATTAATACAATGTATTTTCACGCATCACCCGATATATAATTCAGCATTTTCGGATTAGGGTTAGATCAGATTGCATTATGGAGTGGTTCATCCGCTGTGAGAGCGGCGATCATATAAAAATTCCAGTATTATAAAAACATGCCTTTTATAATACCCCACGAATTCGTTTCGTCCCGACTACATCATGTGTGATTTTATTGTAAACACAGAAAGGAAAGGGTAAGGGGCTCTAAGCGTTGAAAGTATTGTCTCGCGAGTGGACTTAGAGGTTATGTCGCACGTGAGATTTATGTTAACCTGCTTACGGTGACACTTGAGGATCATGATGCACGAAACGAACGAGAAAAAGCCAGAGAAACCCTGTCGCGCTTGTATGGACTTCCAGACATGGGCGAAACGCCAGATGGAAGCCTTCTCGGAAAAGGTAAATCGGTAGTTTATTGACAAATTTATTGAGGCTTCATTATCAATTTTGTCGCTATTACTCAAGTTTCAGAGCTTATTTCATCAGAAATAATTATTCTTATCCTATTTTTGAGAGGCAATTATTCTTGCTTTTTATTAAATTAAATTAAATTAACGTATTATATCATTATAATAGATCTGTTCTTTTTTCAGTTGAATTTCTTGTTAATTTTTTTCTTTTTCTCTTCAATATGAGAATGCAAGGAGAAAAACAGGGAAGATGAATCATCTGAGAAATTCAACCAAAAAGAACAAACCTATAATAACAAAAATTCTATTAGGATTCTTCAATTTTATACAATATAATAAAATTTTATACAATATAATAAAACAATATAATAGGCTAATGAGAGTCAGCAACGATAAACGGCACAATTATTTATTGAACTATCAATATATAAATATTAGATTGATGTTATTTTTATTTATGTACACAATTTGAGTATTAATAGTTTAATTATAGTTTCAATTATTGTTGCTGACTCTCATTAGTCTATATTTTTTTCTTTATATTGAACAGACTTGTTACAAATAACAATGACAATTACAAGCTATTATTATAAATTATAGACCAGTTCTTTTCAGTTGAACTTTTTGCATGAATCATTTCTCTTCTTTTTCTCTTCATTGGAGAAGAAGAGAGAAAATGAAGGAGAAGTTTAATTGAAGAAGTTTAGTTAAAAAGAACAAACATGCAATTTGTATAAATTTTTATTTCAGGAACAAAAGAAATCGGAGCAAACATCAAATGCAAACAACATTCGACAGAGTTGTCCTTTGGACAAAGACGAATTGGGTTCGAAGACTTGGGCTTTTTTGCATACCATGGTGGCATACTATCCTGATCATCCAAATGAGAAACAAAAGGCTGACGTGAACAGCTTCTTTGATACATTTTCCAAATTCTATCCTTGCAATATATGCGCAGAAGATCTGCAGAAACAATTTAAACACTCGCCACCGCAGACCGAATCGCAGGAAAAATTGAGCCAATGGCTGTGCAGAATTCATAACGAAGTCAACAAGAAACTTGGAAAACCAGAATTTGATTGTAAACTAGTGAATCAGAGATGGAGAGATGGTTGGTTAGATGGTTCTTGTGATTGATAAGTAGCTATAATAGTCTTAGAATGTACAATGGGACCTGAATACAATACGAATTATTGTGTAAATAATTATTGTAGATTTTTTCATTGAACAATCTATTGCTCTTAAATTTGTTGGTACAATGTACATAAGAAAATATGAAAATGAAAATTAATAGCAATATATGTACTTAAAAAGCTTTCCATGTTCAGCTTTTTTTCTGCGGGGTAAATTTACTTTAAAGTAAGAAGTAGGAACGAAATTGCATCATACTTTATTATAAACATCTTCGTGACAAGAGAAAAATTGTATAGATTCAGAACTTACATACAAACGTTTGCCAGTGGCAATTTGATATTGTTAACATTATTATTTGAATTGGGATTTTCTTGATAGACACAATGCAGAAATGTGCACATTGTTGCATTGCACTATATATGATAAAAAATATATTGACAATATAAAATCTTTTTTTAATAGCCATTTCATTTTTGCAATAACTTCTTCAACAATGCATTCCACCAGTGGTTGCACATTTATTTACTATGTTTGTTTTTTATTCTAAATTTCGTGGTCGATTAACACAAGCTGGTGACCGTGTGATAGTAAATGCGGTAGCTATTCGAGGAGCAGGCTCGTAGCTGTGATCCTGGCCATAACCACTTATAGGTACAACTTGGAATGTTCTAATGTGGAATGGAAAACGTTTGTTATTCACAGATGGTCGAGTTACATATAAAAACAGTATGTGACCCAAGAAGACAATGAAGAGGGAACTTCCTTTGGCCACGCTCTCTCTCACCCAATCGTCTACGAATTTTGTGTTGATCAATATCTATAGAAATAAAAAGAAAGACATGTTTTATTTTTACAGAATATTTTCTATATAAGCTAAAGATTATAATAAACAATTATTTCAAACAAAATAATTTTTGGTAGTTTTTGTTTGAAACAATTTTTTATATGTATGCATACTGTTAAAGGATGAAAGAGGAACCACACTGATCCCAAGAAAAGTAGCGAAGAGTAGAAGTGGAGCTTCACATGCAATTTTCTGACGGTCTTAAAACAACGAGTGACAAACACGAGCCAGGCAATTAATTTCAATGCTATTAAAATATAGCCCGGTAGCGATTCGTAAATATACAACACCAATCCTGGATCGAATGCCTCGAATTGATATATACACAGCGACATTTGACAAAGACCAGTAATACTGACAAATAATATAAGCCATCGGATTTGCGACGCTGTAAGGACACTTTTGGTAACCGTGTAACCGAGAGCAAGTAGCAGCATAAGAACTGTATACAGAGTCTCGGAACACGCTTCTAAGAGTTGACCTAGTAAATAAGCATTTAATGCTGACATTCCTGTCAGACCAAGATTAATATAATTATAAAGCTCGCATGACACTCCCAGTAATTGACACAGCAGGGAGGCTATGAACAGTTTGTAGGATATATGCAACAGCCTCCTGGAGCGCAATTGTAGCGCTATGTAGAGACTGAGAATGAGGAATATCGTGTACAAGCAGACGGTTGGTATCAGCAATGGCAGTATGTCTAAAATGAAAAACGGATACAATTAAGGAACGCTACTCTGAGACTCGCCGATTGTCGAAAGTCAAATTACTTGCAGAATTCGTCCGCGGAAAAGTGCTCCTTCCAAAATGTCCCGAGCGGCGCATTGGTCAACGATAAATAATACGTAACGTTCAAGCCTTTCGTGGAAGAGCAGTCGGCTAAAACCATATACCACCATCTCGGCCGGGATGAGGTGAATCTTCTCTGGTTAGTGCATCGAACTATACCGTCGTCATCCTCGACGCATCCCGAAGCGAAGCTTATTCTCGTCGATGTATTCAATGGTATTATTTGACCTTTTTCAAGAGAGAGAACACTTTCTTTTTCTTGACACGTCTTATTGGAAGGATAGACAGCGGGCCATTGATGTTCTCCATCGTAGTACAGAAGGAGTTTCAAATTGCGTTCTTCACCTCCTAATTGAAAGTGGAATCGAAAAGTACCAATTTCCGTTAAAAAACAGAATCTCGCGAGGAATGCCCAGTTCTGAAAAATCGCAAATTCAAGTATTTGTACACTCTCGTTATTCTATAGCTACGTTTTTTTAAATGGTTTACAAATCATTGGAGTCATTGCTTCATTAATAAATAATAACAGTATTGCTTCTGCATTGGATTATTAGACTACATCTAAAGCATATTCCCAAGTAGCAGTGACGTCAAATAATAATATTTTAATAACGTCTTAATAACATTTCAATGAACGTCTTCAATAAGATGTCATTAAAATGTTATCTTGCTACTTGATTTAATTCTAAAAATATTATGCAACAGTTTCTAATAAATATAACAGTAAAGATTAAAAGATTTATAATTAATATCTATACATATGTTATTAGTATCAGAAGAACTTCCGCAAATGCAATGAGAGAAAAAAGTATGGAAAAGATTTTTATAATTGCATGTCTTTACAATCCATTAAATAATAAATTATATTATCAATGTTATAATTTTATACTTAGGAATATAAACAAATACAACATCTATGGTATGTAATAGTTACATCGTTGAATGTAAAATTATAACATTGATTAGTTATTGTTGTTTATTAGATTGTGCAAAGACATACGATAATTATAAAAATATTTTTTATTGTTTATAATTTAAGCCACATTTTTCAATTTAAATGTAATTTTAATTAAAAAAAAATATTTTTACTATATTTTTCCTTACAGCATTTGCGAAGAGCCTTTTGATACATTCTAATGAAATGTGTATTAATTAGAAATTTGTTAATCTCTCTCTTTCTGACTTATTAAGATCATTAAAACATTAAATCATTAAAACACTACATCAAATTTAAATAATAAAAAAGAAATGCAATTATATCCCTCCGGGAATACAATTCTTATTACTTTAACATTAATTATCGCCTTTATTGTTCGCTTTATATTTGCATTTTAAATCGTACTTATTTAATGAAAATCTACTCGTTTTTTATTAACAGCAGTAGAAACTCATTGAAAACTTCGCTCATAGGTACACGTCGCACAATAATATTGACCACACAAAAGTGCTATGGATTGAAACTCCGATGAAACGACTCGTGATTTCGTTTGATATTTTATTAAAATCAATTCTACTCTGGTAATTACTGTGGATGTAATCAAGTCGCCCTGGAGTATCTTGGCATCAGCGTGTCGAAGTAGCGGCAGATGCGCAATCGAAAAGAGCAGCAGCAGAAAGCCCAGCTTCACCGAGTTTCGAGTGCGCGAGGCTCGTGCGACGAGCGTTCCTCCGCACATTACTATACCGTGATCGCTAGTTGCATACTGTCAGTGGTTAAGCGGCCGCTTTGATCAATATTCCCCGGAGTCATGACTTGTATATCGATTTGATTATTCGCACGAAACGGATCGACATTCGCGAGATTGTTGATGTGAGAAAAAGGAAAAAAGGTCAAGAGAATGCTCCCACACATGAAATTTTGTGTTGTAGTAAATTCTCCCTTCCATGTATATATTTTCTATTTCCTTTTTTTCTTCTACACTGAAAAAATTTATTAAATTTTAATACATATTTCATACATTAAATAGTAAATAAACGTTTATTTACAGTAAATAATTATTTAATAAAATATATATTATGTATATATATATTTATAAAAATATACATTATATATATTTTTTTTTAATGAAAATGTTAAATTAATGTTTTTATATCAAATAAATGTATGTGTGTATGTTTACATTTAGTAAATATTTACTTAGAACTATTCAAACAAATATTTATTAAAATTTAGTTTTTCTTTTTCAGTGTAATGTTTGAATGTACGTTTTGATTATGGGAGATTTAGGTAAAATAATAATGTAGCTATAGTTTTATTACTCTAATTACTTTTTATCATCCTGATTGATTATTATTCAGCACTCTTTCACACATTTTGTATAGATTTTATGTAGATATTAAATTAGAATAGAAGAGAAAAAGGAACATTTTTCTAGAAAGTTTAATCTATAATTTTATTGACTTTTACTCTAAAAAATAAAATCTCTTTCTTAAAGATTGAAAATTGAGCAAATGTTTTTTTTTTAAGATTGGCTTCATTTTCACTTTTTAGAGATTCCACTCCAAAAAATTTAGAGAGTAGATAAAAAATGAAAGAAGTTAAGTGTATTATAATAATTGTTCGCGTGTCCCTGACATTTGCGTGCAAGACGCTTGCGCGGCATGTAGTATGCATGTGCAATGTGTCGCATTCTCGCCAGTTGATCGAATTGATTACTTGCAACACAACGACGAGAAAATAATATCACTCACTGTGTATAACGTATTATTTAATTTACTAGTTTTTAATTTACTTTACTTTAGAAAATTTAATTTACTTTAGAAAAAAAAATTAATTCTTTTAAACAAGTCACCTCGTTTACATTTTTTGTATTTAAAAGAGAAACAAGAGAAACCGACAAGTTTATATTTTTAAAAAAATGAAAAGATAGCAAATGTGTAAATATTTATTTATTTATTAAAAAATATTTTTAATAAATAATATTTAAACAAAATAATAAAAGAAATAGGCTCGCTGGATTAAATCGATCATAATAAATAATGAGAAGATTTAATAAATTAAATAATTTATACTCGAATATCCTGTTGATTCAATATCGATATTATTTGTCGTAATAATATTTATTTATTAAAAAATATTTTTTTTAATGAGAAATAAAACGAACTGAAGTAACAACAAATTTGAAAATTGAATTTTTGGTGGATTAGATTTCATGAATGGAAATTGTTTTTAATTAATTTTTTTCTATGTATCTTCATGAATTTCAACTCTCTGCTTTCAAATCATCAAGCGAATCCTCTACTTTTAATTTCTTCTTTTCTGTACATGTATTCTCCAAAATTGAAACATACGAAATTATTTTCAAATCTATAATCTAACTTAACTCTTGAAGCCGCCTCCTAAAGTCCATTTTATTTCAAAGTTTTGAAATAGTATAATAATAGAATTTTTTACATTTGTTTTATTTTATAGTTTATCTAATTGTTGTTTTATCAACCTTCCTGTTGTTTGAAAAAATTTTTGCAAAGTTTAAAATAAAATAAATATATATTTGATCGTGAGAGATTTTGAAAATAGAGAGAGAGAGAGAGAGAGAGAGAGAGAGAGAGAAATCGAAAATACTGGCCCGTATTCAGAACGAATTTTATCTCTGAAATTTTATAGTATGCGTAATGTAAATTATAGCATGTTAATGCGCTAATATCGTTGTAAGCATGTTCTGAATATGAGCCACTGAGTGCAAAGAGTGCAAAGAACATGAACAGACCTATACCTATAGTCATATTGAGATTGTGCTGCACACAATAGTAGGAATAAGAAATTAGGAATAAAGAATACGATTTTTAACCTATCAGACATCGAAATTAGAATCCTAGATATAACAAAGAAGCGCAACCGCTGTCCCAATTTTTTATTGGTTCCGCTATTTTTTCTACGGATAGTCTTCTAGGATTTTAATTACGATAAGTATCATGATTTTTAAATCTTGATATATTGTAGTCTCCAAAGAGAATCAGTATTTCTTTGTAGTCAGCAGAAACACTACTGTTATAAGAATCGCACTCCATTTGCGGAATGATATAAACGCAGGTTGCCATTTTTTCTTCAGACGATTAATTATAATCGTTAATTATAATCTTTAAATATGCTTGGTTGCGCTTCTCTGTTATATCTAGGACTCTAATTGAAATATACGGTTTTTGATAGGTTGAAATCGTTTATTCTTTATTCTTCTATTCCTTATTCTTTTTATTGTGCGCAGGACCTTATGTTATGGTTCTTGCACACAGAACGCGGCAACACTTACTCGCGCAATAGAAGTTATTGCGATAGTCAATCATCATCTCGCTTACTCGAAAGTAATAGATATATAATTTCCACTGCGTGACAAAAGTTGAACTCAATTCAATTTTTGCCGCGCGGCGAAAGTAAAGCCGGTTCTACATTAGTTGCAAGCTGATCGCAAGTTTGCTACAGCCAATATGAATATTGATTTTTAAAATGCAAGCTTCAGATTGGCTGTCACACAACTAATGTAGAATCGGCTTAAAGGGCTCCGCACAATAAAAGAAACAAGGAACAGAGAACAGAGAATAAGAATTTCAATCAGAACCTATCAGAAACTGTGTATTCTACAGTGCATGATTTCTGATAGGTTAAAATTCTTATTCTCTGTTCTCTGTTCCTTTTATTGTGCGGAGTTTCTAATTACATCATTTCTAGAAGTTTTGTATGGTAAGGCCGACTTAAGGCTCCTGCACACAGAACGCGGCAATGCTTGCGCGCAGTGGAAGTTATCCCACTAACTAATAATTCTGTTTTTAAGTCGATCTCACCATGCAAAACTTCTAGAAAGGATGTAATATTATTTCCGTCGCGCAGTAAGCGTTGCTACGTTCTGTGTGCATTATGTTATGCCATGCCTTGCCATGTGTGGTTGATTCTAAGAGAGTTTAATTTGTGAAGTGTATTTTACTTCCCGAAGGATAAAAAAAAAAGAAAATTCTGATTTGTGTATTGCATCATTTGTGCATTAAAAAAATTGCCTGAAAATCTATAGTGCATAAACTGTAACATTTTCAACGTAGGCAGTAAATTTGGAACACAATCTTAGATTCAATACAGTAGTAAGGTTAGACCTTAAAGATGGTTACGAAAGCCAGTAAACAGAATGCGAAAAATTTTAAAAGTAAGTCATTGTTGCATACATTAAAAATATACATATCTTGAATTATGTTTGAACGAAATTATTTCGACTTGTAGCGCTATGGGTTCGCTTCGACGCGGACAGTTCTGACAAGCATCAGCTATTTTTCAAGGAACATTCCATAAGAAATCAGGAACCGGAATATCCCAGGAAACGAACTCTCTTTGTGTTGAACGTACCGCCGTACGCTACCATTGATTGCTTGAGCAATGCATTTGCTAATCTGTGTGGAAATGTACAGTCTGTTACATTTTCAAATACAAAAGGGTTCAAAACCGCATATATTGTTTTTAAGCAGGAATCCTCCTTAGATAAAGCTATGGAATTTTCAAAAGATTTCATAATTACTTTGAAAAGTGAGAAAAGCATTTGTCTTACAGGATTAGAAAGTAAGTTATTTATTTCTTATAATCTGTAGATTTGTTTTTTGTAATAGAACTAGTGTATATTTTTCGAACTTAAAGTGAAATAGATGAAATGTTCGATATTTGACAAAAATAAGAAAAAAAATTTAATGCAGTTTAACAGAAATGAAAAACAAATTTTACTGTCACTTGAGGTTTGTTTTTTATTTCTCACTAGGCTGCAAGAAAATTTTCTTTTTTACTTTCACCAAATATCAATTATATACTTACTTTCATTTTAAATTCCAAAAAGTGTACTAGTTTAATGATAGAAAATCAAATCTTAGAGCGATGTTCATATTCAGATCTTATATTCATCTTAATTACAATATTAAGATGTTGTGAACCAATCAGCACTGTATCAGTATCTTAAAATATTACTTAAGATGGTTTTGAAATAAGAACGAATGAATATCATCTTGTTTTTTTCAGCTGAATTTCTTACATTATTCATTTTTTCTTCTTTTTTTTTCTCCACTTGGAAAGAAAATTAAGAAAAGACGAATGATGTAAGAAGTTTAGTTATAAAAAATGGATCTTATTATTTTTGAACTTATTTTTTGTTTAAACAGGATGGTGTAAAGAATATAATGATACTTTATATGACGAACAATTAATGAAGAAAGACATTGAGGAATGTATAGCTTCGTATGACAAACAAATACAGGACCATATCGCACAAGAGAAAACTGCAGAGGAGGACAACGATGGTTGGGTAACTATAACAGGTGGAAAGAAAAGAGGACAATTTGCTCCATCCAGGAAGGAATCTACCATCGGCAAGGTGCAACAGAAAGAGGAACAACGGAAGAAGAAGAAGCAGTTACTTAATTTCTATACTTTCCAAATTCGTGAGACAAAAAAGCAGAGTAAGTACAATTATTCATTATAAGATTTATAGTACAATTCTTTTTAGAATTACGTTGAACTTGATTTTTCTTTCAGATTTAGCGGAGTTGCGAAAGAAGTTCGAACTGGACAAAAAAAGATTGCAAGAATTGAAACAAAAACGGACGTTTAAACCATTTTAGGTATGTTATGTGTATTAAATGTTATAAATAATATTAGGATATAATTGTAAGATTAAAATCAATTGCGTTTTGTCAGAATCGTTTTATTTTTTAGTAAAACAAATATACAATTGTTTAATGATTGTATTTTTATGTACAAATAATAATTATTTAGAATATCACGATCAAAATAAACTACATTATCATCGTTATTGTCGCCGCCGTCGTCATCATTATTAAGTTGATGCAAAAATGTTATTGATTTTTACTGTTTTAAACTTTGGTGCTTTATTCTATAATATGTTAAATAATATGTTCAATTATGTTCATGTTGCATCATTTCAAGTATTAATTTCGCTCTGTTAATTCTATCAATAATTTTGTTCTCGATGTTAACTTTGTGATCAATCATTATTATTATTAAATATAAAAAAAAAGCAATTCCAAGCAATTTTTTATACAAATCGAAACTAAATTTAAAAGCAGCAGCATGAGAGCCTTGAAAATGAAGAATTGAAAAGAATAACCTTCAGCCATCGATAACAACTTGAAGACAATTATTGAAACGGATTAAAAACTATTAGAAAATAACTAACAACTAATCAAGCAACAATTGTTCGCCATTTGAACCAAATCGGAAAAGTAAAAGCTTAACATTATTTTTGCATCAATCTAACAGTTATTTTCATCTTAAGTTGCTTTAGTAGCGTAAGTTTGTAATGTCCATTCTATCAAAAAATGCTGATACGATAATGGTTGTAGAAGGGCTAATAGTTCTTCTGAAACAAATGTTAAATTTATTTATTGTATAATATATTGTAAACTAGTAG